AGGTTCTTGCTCCCAGACCCATTTCCTCTGGAAGCCCCTCCTCTCTCTTGTCCTCTGTTCTGGGGCCTTTTGTAGAGAGCTTCCTGAGCTAAGTAGTAGATTTGGGTGGGGACACATTCACACAGTTCACGCTCCTCATCTTTCAGAGGTGCGATGAGAGTCTCACACACTGAGTTGCTGATACAATTGTGACCTGTATGGGGGTCAGTCAACAGGTCTCTAAATTCTGTCAAGCCAAGCAGACCCCTGGCCTCTTCCTTCTTTTGGGCTCTAAGAGGTGGCTTTCTTGCTCCCTTCTCCACAGGACCCCGGAGGGGGTTAGAGCAGGCCAGAGCCCCTCTTGCGTCCCACACCATCTCCACTCAGCAAGGTGCTGGTGGCAGCTGGGTCCTTATTTGCTTCTTTTATTAAGGACGTATGGAGGCTGTTCCCTAGTGGTCTAGTAGTTGGGATTAGGTGCTCTCAGAATGTATGGAAGCTTAAGAAATGTTTTTTTTTTTTGTTTTGTTTTGTTTTTTGTTTTTTGCTGAGAGTGGTTTCAAAAAAACAGAATTTCAGTTGCATCTACTTCCAAAAATGTCAGCCCCTGGGTACCTGGCAGTGTTCATTATTACAAGGGGGCCCTTCTTCCTCTCTTTTTGTCTTACCAGGCCAGGGGTACAGGGGTTGTTTTCTGGTCATGCTCCCACCAAAGGTGAGGAAACCGAGGCTCAGGGAGGGTCAGAGATGTAAGCAAGGTCAATGCTGATTGCCAGCTGCCCTGGCAACTTGGCAGCATGCCTGGTACAAAGTTGGCTGTTCAATAAATGTTTGTTACATGAATTGTTAAATGAATAATAAAAGTTGCTGAGCAAGGCACTTACAATTGCAAGTTTTGAGAGATTAACATGATTAACAACAGTAATGACTCAATCCCTCCTCATAAACATTTTATCCCCATTTTAAAGATGAGATATCAGAGGCACAGAGAGGTTAAGTAATGTCCCAAGGCCACACAGCTAATTACCGGCAGAGCCAGATTTGAATTTAGCCAGTTGGGTACCAGAGTCCATGCTCTTGCCACCTTGCTACACCATCTATGCAAAGTCTAAGCAGCACTGTCCAGCAGAACTTACTGTGATGCTGGGAATGCTGTGGATCGGTGCTGTTCAATCAGTGCTGCGATGTGTGGATACTGGCTGTTGAAATGTGGCCGAGGGCCTGCACCTAGGGAGAGGGAAGCAGCCATCTCATCCAGAGCTGGGCTGCAAGGGTTTCTGAATGATGGTCAAAGGAACAGCTCAGAGACCTGAGCCTCAAGAGACTCCTGGCCTCGGTGTCCAATCCCTCAAGGGCCTCGTAAGAAGCAAGCAAGATGGGGAGAGATAAAGGAAGGAAGGTAGTCAGTCACACACTCCCGGTCAGTGAGAACCAGCAGAACTGGGGCCCCCAACCTCAGGGCGGGTCCTATGGCTCTCCACTGGTTGCCAAGGTCAAGCCTCTAGTCTGGCTCTCCAGCCTTCTTGCCTTCGTGGAACAATCATAACAGGTCACATTTCCCACACACAAGAAGCAAGAAGCCCTGCCCATGGCCCTGCTACTGAGCTGTGGGATCCATGGACCTGCGGACAAGGGTGATCCCCAAATCCAGCCAACTTTTGGTGATTCAGACTGAGACTCTCCACTTTGGGGCTTATCGGCAGCAAAGCCCTAATCCCTGCAAGGCACTTGGCTGGGAGGCTGCCTGCCCTGCTGTCAGCTGGTGTGTGCAGGAAGCACAGACTCATTTTAATATTGGCTTGAGCTAAACCTCATTAGAAAAGTAAATTTGCTGTAGCTGCAAAAAAAAAAAAAAAAAAAAAAAAAGCTACCCATATAACCCTTCCAAACATAAATAGAAAACCCTGGTTTGGGTTTATTTGTTCCCTAGCACTGGCCCATGACCTGGGACATAGTGACACAGTAGGTGCACAGTCAATGTCTCTGGGAGTGAACAGAATTTAGAGTGAGCTCTGTCTATCCTGACATCTCTCAGCATGGATGATAAGTTCGGGATCTGGGATTTTTGTAAGCTGAACTAATTTTTTTTAGACAACCACTGACTGATAATTTGGAATGATTACATCGACCACTTATCAGATGGAAACTTGTTGTCGCTGATGCAAGGAGACACCAGATTGGCCTGGCAACAGAGGCAGGCCCCGGTGGGCCTGGATTTGGCCCTGATCGGGAGTGCAGCCACCAGACGAGGTGGGTGGTGTGGGAGATGGCAGAGACCCAGGATTCCAAGGTGACTGGTTCCAGGATTGGCCAGACAACTGCTACCCCGAATTCTATAGTCACCCAGATCCTGAAAGAGTGTGGGGCAGGGTGTATAAAGCAAGTACATGGAATTAACATTCACCCAGCACTTCACCTAAACCAGCCTCGTGAGCGGAGGGTCCTCAGTTTCTAGGCTTTTAAGGAAACAGGGCTCAGAGGGCTCAGCTTTTCCCAAAGTCTACTCTACTGGTCATGGAAAGAGCTGTATGTCCAAAGATCTTTGCCCCTAAACATCTTCTGCAGGGTCCCTAAAGGTGTGTGCCTGGAAGCCCGTGGGGAGGGGGTTGCATGAAGGAAGTTTTTCTTTTCCACAGGTGCTAGGTCTCCCCAGAGGGCACACCCTTTCCCACCTTATAGCATTCCAGGACTAGAAAGGAAAGGGGGTATCTTTAGCCTTTGGGGATAAACAAAGGATATTCCTAAAGCCCCCTGATCTCATGACTTGTCCCCCTTCTGCTTCTCTCTGAACGGTCTCCCACCCCCATTCATCAGAGGCAGGGAAGGACCCTCCTCAAGGGATGACCCACAGGGGCTCTTAGGAAGGAGAGGACCTGGGCCTACCCCCATAGCACCGGTGGGCACTGGGCTTCTGCTTTGGGGCCTTTTTCTGTTCTGTGAACGTGCTTCTGTGTCTTTGTCTGCCTGCCTCAGATACTCTTTGATTCTCTCTTCTGAAACCCTGCCTCTCTCCTCCAGTTCTCAGCAGAAGGGAGCTCCCAGGCATCTCCGTGCCAGCTTGTTCCTCTCTTCCAGTCAAACTGAACCAGCGTGCTCTCCTGTCTTAGAGCCTGACTCCTCTGCCTGCCTTGTCAGCCACAAGTACAGTTAACTTGGGGTCCTCAATCCCAAACCCTGTGGAGAAAACCGGGTCTATCCAGAGGCTCGAGGTGGGCACCTGGGCACATCCTTCTGGCATCTTTCTCTGGTGCTCCTGGTCTTTGCCAGGGGTTTCAATCCTGTCACTGGAGCTGGAGCTGTCTCATCTCAGTGGTCTACTCGCCTGTGCTTCAGCTGCAGCTGTTAGTACCTGTTCATCCAGAAACCTGGGTGCACAGACTCACCCCAGCACACGTGAGCTTCCAGAGGCCTGAACATGGAGTGATTCCCAAGCATCTACAGATCAGGTACAGCATGGGCCCGCAAGCCACTGTCTTCTGTGCCGAATGGGGCACAAATCCTCCCTGTTCCATTAACCCTGGCAAACCTTCTGTTTCTCACCAAAAGGGACAGAGGCAATGGCATGCAGGCAGAACCTCTGGGGGTGCTGGGCATAGCCTGGGCATAGTCAACGGTCACTTTGACGGTCTCAGAGGGAAGGGTCTTCATTCCATAAGAAGAGGGGGACTTGATGTTTGGTCCAGAAGGCCCATAGAGGCCACCAGCTAAGCAGGTTTAGGGAGGAAATGCTGTGGCTATTAGAAGCAGGGAGACATAAGGCAGAGAAGACAAATCTCAGAAAACCCTAGAACAACAGTTGTATGAGGCCACACGCCCACCACAAGCCCAAGAGCTTATGAAGCTGTGCTCCTTCCACTTCTACACCAACACCACAATAACTTCACTGTGCTATGTACTAGCCACCCTTACCCAATCCTATCACTGTATGCCACACAACTCAAGCTCAGGGTCCACATGGCTACCCCATCCAGACTGGTACCCATGCGGGGAGAGCTGCCCCCAGAGCAAGGGGCTAGCAAGTGCCAGAAAAGGGCCCCTCCAGAGCCCCATGCTTTAGAAGTCCCCAGAGTCCCTCAGTTACAGCTTCTACAAGAACCCACCCATGTAGCGTGTGGCCGGCAGAGAGGAGGCCAGGCCAGGTGCGGGAAAGGGAAGAGAAAAGGGAGGCGCACGGAGACCGTGTTTGCATGTTGGGTGTGTGTTCATGCATGGCAGGGGCGTGTCTCTTGACCATAGCTGCTTGGTGCCACAGTCACCTCCTGTCTCGGCACTGCTGGAGGCTGTACTTCCTTCCAGCGACACCTCTCCCCTTCCTTTTCTGAAGTTGTGTGCTCTGACTTTGGAGGAAACAGGACCTCAGGTCTGAGCCCTGGATTGGAAGGGAGGGTGGTGAACTTGGTGGCGCCCCCTTTCTCCTTGACATACGAAAGTCCCAAGGACCCTCCGGTACCCGTGCCACCTCTCAGATCTTTCGTATCTCCAGCAGAGCTGCAGATCTTGGGTCCCCTGAAAAGAGTTAACTTGCCGGTGCCTGGAGCCTCAGAGCTTTGGGGATGACTGCTGAGGAGAGGGGTTCCCGGGGAGCCGGCCCCTGACTCCTCTGGGTCACCAGGAACCACCTGCTGAGATGGAAAGGCACGGCAGGCGGAGGAGTCTGGGTCAGTTGTTAGAAGCTGCCGAGAACCAGTTTCCCGGCTAATGCCCGCCCAAGGAGAGCAGGCAGCGCCCAGGTTTTGTTTCGAAGCCCCTTGGCGGCAGCACCTCCCAGCCGGGCTGGGTTTCCTAGCCCCCTTTCCAGCTGCCCCCGCGGCGCGCGCGCGCGCGCACACACACACACACATACACACACACTCACTCACACACACTCACACACACACACACACACACTCACACACACACCCCGGAGAGGACATGGCGTGGGTACTGATGGGGTCGCAGAAAGGGGCTCTGTGCGTGGCGGCCGGCGCGGGGCGCGGGGCGCGGGGCGCGGGGCGCGGGGCGCGGGGCGCGGGGACACTGACCTGCGGCAGCGAGTCCGGATCGTCCCCGGCGCGGTCCATCGCTGTCGGCGGCTCCTACGCCCCGGCCCCGGCGTCCCCAGGCTGCTGCCCTGGGCCGCGCGTGCCGCCCTCCCCGGGGGCTCTCGGGCTCCGGACCCCCGGGAGCCCCTTCATAGCCGCGGGGTCCGCTCGCCCGCCCGCAGCCTTGGCCGCGCTGCCCCGGCGGGGCCGGTTCTGGGCGCTGCGAGGCGGCGGCCGGAGCCCGGGCGCGCGCGGAAGGGCGCTGGGGGTGGGGTGGTGGGGAGCGGGGCGGCACGGGGAGGGAGGGGGGAGGCACGGGGAGGGGGAGCACCGGGGGTCGCAGAGGGCCCGGCGCCAGGCGGCCGGGACGAGCGCCGGAGCCCAGCCGACCGGGCCGGCGCGGAGTCCCCTCGGCGGCGGCGGATGCGCCGCTGCCGCCGCGGCTCTGACAGCGCCTCCCGCCCCGCCCCCACTCCCCTCCCTCCCCGCCCCCACTCCCCCGCCCCCGCCCCCGAGCCAGCGCGAGCAGCCGGCGGGACCCGCGCCGCTAATGGTCGGTACCAACCTCGCCAGCTGAGGCGGGGGGCGCGAGGAGGGAGCCCGGCGAGGAGGCCTCCCCCCCCTTTGGTATCACCTACCCCGCCTTCCCACCCCTTCACACACACCCTCCCCAGCGGAGGCGGCTCCAGCTCTAGGCTCTGGAGCAGGGGCTGCGGGGCGGGGGCCGAACCCAGCCTGGCCTTGGCTCTGGAGAGTTAAAGCGCGCCCGGCCTGCTGCCTGCACCCCCATTCCACCCCGCCTCCATCCTGGCTGTTCCTGGCGCCCAGCTTGGCAGCCCTTCTCAAAGGGTGATTGTTTCTGGGCTCGGTAGTTGAGGAGGGGCATTTCTCTGGGCCCAAGAAGCAGAGCTGGGGAGGTGGGAGGGTGCGGCTCCCTCCTTGGCTTCAGGCACCCCGGAGTGGGGGCTGACTGGTGGAGGCAGTTGGCACTTACCAGCATGCTGGGGTGCCTCCGTGGGGTGAGGTGGGGGGGCCTCAGTCAAGGGTCAATAGGGTGGGCCCACCTGTGGACACTGCTGTCTTGTTGGAGGGGACATTTGTAGCTGTTGAGTGTGAGACTCAACCCCCACTCCTGCAGTGTCCTGTATCTGCCAAAGAGTAGGCCTGGGGACAGTGCATGGGGTGGAGAGAGAACTGGAAAGGGATAGCAGAGCAGATATGCAGCGAAGGGATCCAGCAGGCCGTCCAGGAATTTTTTTTTTATAGGCTTCTTGGGCAGAGAAGCCTCTGCATGTTCTTTCCCTGTGTGTGCTGTGTACTCTTGGGGATTGTGTGATCGGTGAGTCCGTGAGCATGTACTCGTGTGTGCCTGCATGTGTGGCGTGCAGGTGTGGCCATGTCCTGTCACCATCTATGGAGATATTTCTACATGTTCTTTTCATCAAGTTGAAAGAGACTTAGAAGCTACCCTTATTCTTGTTTCACATTTTTGCACCCTGACCCCTGCACCCCCCTGGTTTGCTTCTTGGATCACTGTAGTCAGAGGCTCCCTCTGTCCCCTTCAGAACCTGGGGGAGAAGGTTGGATCATGTTGCTGGCTTCTGACCCTGTGAGACCAGGGGACATAAGTGCATTTCAGCAGCTCAGACTCTTTCACAAAGCCAGTACCTCTTGCCCTCACTTGGTGACCAACTCTAGACCCAGTGGCAAGGGCCCCTGTACCACCAGCAAAGCATTTCTATGAACTGTGGATGGATGGTGAGAATCATGGGACCCCTTCCTGTCACCCTCTCTACCTGCCATTTGGCCAGCCCTTGCTTCTTTTCCTGAATGTGTTTGGTGTTGGGAAGAGGAAGGGGTAGGTGTGAGGACAGGGGTTTAGAATCAGATTATGGTCAAGACCTTGAAGTGAGGAACATTCCTCGTCATCCTCTCCATCCTGCAGACACCTGAAAATGTAACTACTACCTCTGGAGACAACTGCCCCTCCTTCTCACTCCTTCTTCTGTTCTGTGTTTAACAGACCGCTTTGCAAACAAGGAAGTCCTTCTGAAACTAACCAGAGGATCTCTTGCTGCAGTGCAGGCTCATTTTCTTATTCTTTTGAGGAGGCACAGATTTACATAATTTCTACTGGGGGCTTTTATTTCCTTATCGGAATGGCCTTTGTTCCTTTGGACACTGCTAAGAGACCGTGTTTTCTTTGTCTTCTGCTCCCCCTCGGAGGCTCCACATCAACTGAAGGCAGAGGAAACGCAGGCACGGGAACAAGAATGGTAGGGTGGGCATGCAGAGGAGGGACCTGGACATCAGTTTGTGTCAGTTTGCGACTGGACTCTTCCCGGCTGGGCCAACCACTCCCTGTCACCCAATGGGGAGGCAGAAGGGGCCTGGGAGGTTTCCAGTTCCAGTCCCTTATTTTACAAACAAGGACTCTCAGACCCACAGAGGGGCTCATCTGCAGTGTATGGGGCAAGTCCATATGCCCAAGGACAGTACACAGCCCCATGGTGAGCTCAGGCCCTGAGGATACGTGGATTTCTGGTCAATTCTGAGGTGCTTCCTGAGTGGTTGCCTTCCCCCATGACTGGTTTCTACAGTACTGAAACCACGGTCGGGCAGACCAGTCCCCAGCCCTGCCTGATCTGCCAGGCTGTGGTCAGGTGGGCCTTTCTGCAGGTGTCCCCTGTGTGCCCCCTTTAGCTAATGGGAAACTAACCACATGGAATGGTAACATGCTTTATCCTGACTATTCTTTTAAGAAAAATAGTGGTCATAAAACTCCTTTCGAGGGACCTGGCTTGCAATTTAGCCCCAGGCCCAGTTTATGGAATTTTTTAATAATAATTTTTAGAGCCAACTTAAAATAATAATGTGGGATTAAAATTAGCATGAGGAGGTTCAGTGAAGAGAGAACAACCTGCCATTAGTTTTGGTGGGAAGTTTTGGCAACAACCCAAGTGCATGGACACACACAAATATATATCTATGTAGGCACAGCACATGAACAGAGAGTCAGATGCACAATTAGAAATGTACATCTATGTGCGCCTATACCTTGTGTGCACACGTGCATGCACAGGTGTGCATCCCTGTACCCACCTGCACACAGACTGACTTGTTTATGTACACATGTGCACCAGTTCCCACAAAATGGTGGGCCGTAACACATGTCTTTCTCCCCCTCTGTCTTCCCACTCTGCAGTTCTGTGGCAATCCTTTCCTTCCATGTTTGGATTTAGTGCATCCCTTTGGCTGACTTGGCTCTTGCTCTCAGCATCTGGAGCAGCTCCTGGGTCTCCCTGAAAGACTAATCTTCCCCTTCTCATTCCTCCCCTGCCAGAAGCTAGCCCCTCTTCTCACAGGCCCCCAAAGCCTAGCACCAACATGTTTAGTATGCAAAGCCATAGTCTGTCCTCTGGGACAAGCCGTTATGTGTTTATTGTGTAGTTAAGCAGGATGGGAGCCCTGCCCCCGCTCTGGTCCTGGCACAGCTTCTACAATCTGACTCCCAGAAGGGTCCCATAAAACCATCATCTGCAATGCAAAACCCGCAGAACTTCTGGGAGGGCCTGTAGGTTTTCTCCAAATTACCTGTGCCCTAATTTAATACGAATAACAATTAGTTCACTCTTATCAGTTAATTGTTCCCCTTGTGGGTTCCCTCTGCCTCGGCCTTTCAGCAGGAGCTTTGGTCTGCTCCTGATTTGTTAGGATGCTTCCTGTTTAGAACAGTCCTTCCTTCTCAGCTAACCACTCCAGAGAGCTGACAGAAGGTGGCTGAGCTGCTCTAGCCCTTCTGGGATCCAGATCCTGGCTTAGTTGTCTAAATGTTGGGAGCCCCATCTCTAGAGACCCACCCCCAAATCTATAGTGATTGTGCAAAGCTCAAGGGGAACAGAAGAACTCCCTGACCACGGTTGCATGGGCACACCCAAGGGTGCACATACCCCCTACTGACCAGACATGTGGATCTTGAACATGCTCCTTTCCCCATAACGGATTCGAAGTGGTCCTTTGGTCACCAGGATTCTCAGCAATCTCCCGTTTCCCTTTTCCTTCCAGCAGAGCCAGCTTTGTTCCTGAGCCTCAACATGAAGGCAGACTCATGGCCCTCTCACCGCCTGTGTGCAGGGGCAGAGCACAATGGCAAGGCTGTAGACTGCTAAAATGAGCTCCTTTTTATTTTGCTTTGTTTTTCCTGTGGCTGAGGGAAGCATGAGAGGGAGTGGGGCAGGGCCCTGTGAGCTGGGGGAGTACCCCTCAAAGGTAAACTTCAGATCATTCTCTGTTCTTGGAAGAGTGAAAATCAACCTTGCCCTGCTCACTGCTCCCAGACTACTGCTCAGGGCCAGTTCTCCATAAGTTCCCCTGAACCTCTCCAGAGCCCCCTACACAGGTGTTCTTTAACTGCTGAACTGTGGTGATTCCTGCACTCCCCCAGAACCTTGCTGCGGCTCTGCCACCCTCGTCCTGAAGTGAAGGAGGGAAGCCCCAGGAAGTGAACTGACCTTCCTCTCATCCCACTGTATTTTCTCTGGAGGCTCTTGGAGTCCACACTCTCATTTATTCAGCTAATATTTAGTGAGCTCCTCTTGCCTGCCAGGTACTGTGCCAAGCACTCCAGATATAGCAGTCATAGCAGAAAGATCCACCAATAGCAGCGATTAGAAAAGTCAACTCTGATTAGACCCTTTGTACATACCAGGTAATGGTCTTCATGTACATCAACTAATTTCATGATATTAGGTACTATTTATGATGAGGTTCTATTACAAATTCCACTTTATAGGTCAGGAATCTGGGTTGTAGTATTTAGGTGATTTAATCAAGATCTCATGTTTACTAAGTGACAGAGTTGGCATTTGATGCTGGCAGTCTAGTTCCAGGACACACGCTGCTCGTCATCCGAGTATACCTCAGGAGCTTATATGCTAGTGGGTGTAATAGGCAGGCAAACAAACAGAATAAACACAGATGTTGAATGAGATAGAGGAAGGAAATCAACAGGGTGAAGAGCTAGGGAGAATCCCGGGAGGGCATCTTTGAAGGGGAGAT